AGCTGAGGGCAGAAAACAAGCCACTGTGTTTGTACAAAGAGCAGGAGCTGGAGGCAAGGGAGAGAGAGTGGGGAGACTCGATCACCACATAGCTCAAGATGGTCCCTTTGGTGAGGCCAGCAGTAGAGAGATCTACTTCATGTGGTACGTCCTGCTGGGAAAGCACGACAGAGGTGAGCATTCCTCTCCCAGGGAAGCAAGGAGGGAAGAAAGGCAGGATTTCTCTACCCACAGTTTTTCCCAGTCGCCCACAAAGCCTCCAGCTCTTCAGGCTCCCGGCAGCCCTTGACTAGAAGCCTCCAGGCAGCCTGCAAGGGCATTTTGCTCCATCCCCAGGCTCTCTGCAAGGAAGCTAAGTTTGCCTGATGGTTCAGAGCAGACAGTTGGCACCAGCTTTTCTTCCACATGAAGGGTGGATCTCTTTGTCTGCTCACCTTCACTATGGAATGAAGCAGAAAACAAAAACCAAAGGACAGACAGACAAAGGTCCTGGGAGAAACAGAAATGCTGGAACCTCAGCCGTCTCAGGAGTTTTGCTGTTGACAGCTATAGCACCAGGATCTCACAGGAGACTGCCCTGAACAGGGGCAAAAGGCAAGCCCCCCACTTGCAGCGGGTAGCTGGTTAAAGAGCAGCACGCTCAGACCAGGACCTGAGTACCACGGGCACGGAAGGCAGCAAGCTGCAAGGGCAAGAGGACACTAACATGTAGCTGTTCCCCTTGCTCCTCCCCGAGCACGCTCGTACATGAGAGCAGGGCCCGAGAAGAGAGCACGGAGGGGCCCACGGTTGCTGCTCACTTCCTCAGTGACGATTGCAAGGGACGTGCTCAAGAACTGAAATCAAGCACTGCTGCCTTGTGTCCAAAACTCGCAACCCTACAGCTCAGGGGGCTACGCTGCGTGTAAAGCAGAGGATATTCCAGCACTAACAGTCCAATTCCCTTTCTTACTTTATCCCCAATAGACTGCTGGAACACCCTTCCTCACAGCCTTTTGAAGGTATACAAAATAGACTAAAGCACCAGTCCTCAGGCCAAGTTAGGAACCTGCAGCTTCGCTGCAGACTCGAAGCCTGCAAGCCCTTTTTCTCACAGCTCAAGAGCCCTGTACGTGAACATAAACCATATGAAGGCATTCTTGACACATGACAACTCTCCACAAATTCTCCACACAGATAGACCCCTCACTTAGCCAAAATGTGGAAAAAGATATTGTCATTGCAGACCATGTGATCTGTAGGGTATGTGTTTATGTGCAGACTTCCAAAGACCTCCAGTTCCTAGCAAGTACTCAGCTCTACAGAAAATAAATAGCAATTGATGCCTGGTGTGAAACCCAGCCAGCACCTAAAACAGAGAAGAGATCACGCCAAAAGATGTAGCACAAACCCCAAAGCAACTGCAGTCTAGAGAAATCCTGCAAGCCACCTCTCAGCAGCTGCTACAGATTTAAGACCGTGTTTTTTAAAAGTACTTCAAAGCCAGAGCTGCAAAATACTTGTGTGCCCTACTCAGATATGAAGGTTGGGTTTTGTCCTGAACTTCAGCAGGGCAGGAAAGCATCTGAAAACATCAGTAAGCACTACTCCACCCTTTGGGTTGTCTAAGTATTTTTTAAGCTCAGCCTTCAGTACCTTCGAGGTGGCACCATGCTACAACCCGCACCCAAGGGCAAAGGCTGAAGAGAGTGCCCAAAGGCAAGTTCAACATAAAAAAAGAAAAAAAAAAAAGAGAAAATAAAAAGCAGTATCAAGCTTGCTATGACTATTCTACCCCTCTTAAAATAAGTCATAAACACCGATGCAGTAGCACTATCTCAAGGGTTTTGCCTATAGCCACAGAGCCTGATTCTGTACATATACCCAACCTTGCTATACTGGAACATGAAATCATCATCCTGACGTCTACCTATCCAAATAATTGCATTTTCACAGGCTCATCAGATGTGTGGGAGGGAGTCCACAGTAATCAGAGACTGGCCTGAGATCTGGTCCTTAGGCATGACGGGGTAAGGATAACGGAGAGCTCTGGTTCACAGCCAATGTTTCCTGGAATTCACTTAATTCCTTCGAAAGCCAGTGATATTAAATCCAACAACAACAACTAGACAACAACAAAAAAGCAAATCCTTCTGAAAAGGCATATTAGCTAAAACATGATTTAAAAAGCAAGATCTGCAGCCAGAGATTATGGTCTGGCTTTTACAAGGAAAACAATTTTCAGGCTGCCCGTGTTGAAAGCAATCTCTGAGCAAGTAATTTCACAACATCCATCGAGCTGTCTCATTAAAAAGCCATTGCCCTATCTATGGCACACTTCCCTCTGCAATCCCTTCTTTTTTGGTTTTTTTCTTTCTTTTTTTATTTATTAATTTTCTTCTCATTACAAAGCAACAGCCTTCTATAAACCTCTAGATGCCACACTTCAGGCTCAAGGATATAAGCGGTTATTCTTACAGAAACAGTCATTGCTGCAAAATTATTCCTAAACCTTACCCCACCCCTCTTTCCTTCCTTCCTTCCTCTCCTCCTGCCTCTTGGCTTAACTTCCCTGGGAGGGAAACAGCTCCTTCTGAGAAACAGAAAATGAGTTTTTACGAACTAAAGGACAATGCAGTCACTGATCTCCTGCAGGATTGAGGTCTACAGACCAACTAACAGCCAACTAATGGTTTATCCTCTTCTTGCGGCTGTAACTGACTTTCCTTAAGGAAAAGGTATCATACTGCAGGGCTCTTATCCTTTCCTCAAAAAAAAGAAAATTCAGGGTCTACTACATGACCTCTAAACATGGGAATAAAACAAACATAAAGACCTCCCAGGTTATTGAGCAGACACAGTGCTCTAAAAGAATCATTAACCCTGAGACAAATTTGCATGGGAAAACAGTGAACAAAACCAACCATCTCTAAAACCACAACCAAAATCAAAGGAAAAACACATCATGGAGTTCAGCTGGGAACACCCAGTACCCCCAGCACTGCACACACACACCCCCCCCAGTCAGCTGGAGAAATATTCCTCACGCCAGGCCCCAATCCTCCAAAAACTTCTACCTCAACTCCGCACAAGAGGACAAGCCATAGGCAGCCCATGCCACGCCACAGTCCTGTTCCATACACACACAGGCCTTCGCAGGGTCCAGGTTCTGTGCTGTAGGAACCGGCACAATTTCAAGTTTCACTATTCACTTTTATGCTGCTGTCTGCCCTTCTGCATACTCTTCTTGGTTTCCCTCCAACGCTCTGGATGGGGACTAAATGGCTGATGAAAACTGTGCACCTTTGCATATAGACTTCCCATGCCACTGGAGAACCATGACGTGACTCTCAGTTACTGAGTTTGCCAGCCAATTTCCAGCCGATTTCATTTCCTTGAAACTATCTGTTATAGAGTGAGCACTTGGTCCAACGTGGCAAAGGTTCCAGAATCATAGAAGCATTTAGGTTGGGAAAGACCTTTAAGATCAAGTCCAACTGTTAACCCAACACTGCCAAGTCCAACACTAAATCCTGTCCCCAAGCACCTCGTCTGCCTGGCTTTTAAATACCTCCAGGGATGGGGACTCAACCCCTTCCCTGGGCAGCCCCTTCCAGTGCTTGACAACCCTTTCGGTGAAGAAATTGTTCCTAATGTCCAACCTAAACCTGCCCTGGCGCAACTTGAGGCCATTTCCCCTCATCCTATCGTTTGTTACCTGGGAGAAGAGACCGACCCTCCCCTGGCTCCCCCCTCCTTTCAGGCAGTTGTAGGGAGCGATAAGGGCTCCCCTCAGCCTCCTTTTCTCCAGGTTAAACACCCCCAGTTCCCTCAGCCACTCCTCATAGGATTTTTGCCCCAGACCCTTCACCAGCTTTGTTGCCCTTCTTTGGACACACTCCAGCACCTCAAGGAACAAGAGATCAGCAACAAAAAAGGGCTTGGTTCTTTTTTTTCTTTTTTTTTGGTGGGTTGGATGTTTGGGGAAAAGTTAATTTTATTTAGGTGTTTTGTGGGCCCCTTTGATTTTTTTTCTGTCCCCTTTGGAGACAAAGCACTGTTTGCATGGGCCCCTTGAACACCCCCTCTTACATCACTTAATTATCAGGTCCAAACCTGGTCTATCATCTCTCTCTTCATTCTACCTTTTTATGAAGGATTTCCACATCCTAAAATGGTCAGGTTTTGTTTTGCTTCTTTTCAAGCTAACCCAGGAAAGCAATCAGGGCATCACCTGGGTTCTGCTGGAACAGCTTCATGGTCCTTCTCCCACGTGATGACAGGGGAGGGCAGTCCTTCAATCCGACACTCGAATCGGGCCATGCCATTTTCTTCCACTGTCTGAGACTCCGGCTGTTGGAAAAAGCGTGATAATGCTGGGGAAAGAAGAAGGGAAGGGAAGTTAATAACTCAGTGTCTCTGCTGAGAAATACAAACCTGTTATGATGCATGAATTAAGAGGAAGGCTCTTCTCTCCTCAAGATAGCTTGAAACGTAATTCCTCACTTTCCCATGCCCTACAGATCCTCAGCAGTCCGAACAACAGTAACTGAAAGGTTTTAATGTGCAAATTTGCCTCTTGCCTCACTTTCTTCCTTTAAGCCAACAGCGTGAGAGAAAAAACAGGCAATTACTGGGTTTCAGCAGTGCCGTCCTAAATTGCTTCCTTGTCTGTTCAGTCGCTCCTCCTTGGGAAGGACATGTAGAATGAGAAAAAGAAGAGGGGAAATGCCACAACCCCGAGAGACGAGAGTTTCCCCTTGCCTTGTGGCACTCTTGCAGCCACAGGAAATTAAAACAAGGCAAGAGGAAGAACAAAGCCAGATGTCAAGTTACTTACACAGAACAACTGCCCACAGGCTGGCAATGCTGGAGACTAGGGTGAGAGTCCCTAAGCGTTATGATCCTCCTTCTCCATAGTGAACGGCTTTGCCCGCAGAAACCAACTTGCTCCTAGTCAAGCAGATGAAATGCAGCCAAGGGAATACAGACACAGCCACCCTGCTTAGAGGAGGAGGATGGATTTCATACATGCCAGGACACTTGTTTGCTTTCCGAGGCTCACCCCTCTCCATATGCTTCTTTCTATACCTGAGAGGCTGAACTTGGTTCAGAGATGAAGCACTGATGTTTGTGATCGCTCTTGGACCGCACCCTTCCCATCGTTCATACACAGCTGCCTGATCTTCCTCTCCTTCCACGCACGCAGCAAAACCCCACTGACTTCAGCAGAGCAGCAACCCTCCCCCTGGGGCTGTCAGCATCTCTCCTATCTCCCATCTAACCTGAAGTCATCTCAGTCACACCGTGGCGTTTTGAGTATGCATGCAGGCTCCTTGACGGGGGCAGAAAGCTTGTATTCTTCTCCACCAGAGAACTGCCTCCTGCTTTCACTAAGTCTCTGTTAAACTGCTTTTGCTGTTAAACCCACCCTGCAGTACAAATTCATCCAGCAATGCTATAACACAAATGCCAGAAATCCTGAACGTGGCACAATAAACACAAATTTCAGCTAGAAAACAGGCTTGGTTGCTGCCCAAGCACAGCACTGTGCTTGTAAGGACCCCAAGTGACCTTCTGGTCCTCCAACACAATTATGTGCTTGTCCCACCAACGCTTCCCAAAAACATCCATCATTGCTTTGGATTTTATAGGGCTCCAAAACTGAAGTTTTCTTTGCATCACACACAAACATATATGCATGTGCATATACACTATATTGCAGAGTTTGCTTGAGAAAGTATGTACAGTTTTGAAAATTAAATGATTTTACATGACCCATTTTAACCTCAGCGTATTCTCAGCTGTCATTAGTGTTTTTCTTTAATTTAAATAGTTATCACGTGTCTAAAGCAACTCATTACTCTCCGCAGCAGCTACAGACTGAATTCTCCCACCAGCTGCCTGTGCAGTCTAGTTTTTCAATTCAGTGTAAATGGGAACAAAAAATGTTTTCCTAGAAACTGTTTCAAAAGACACGAATATGGAAGGCCCCGATTCAGCCAACTGCTCTAGTAGTTTCAAATACACACTGTAGACCACTTTTAACAGACTAATTTCTACGGATTGCAAGATCTTTTACGCTCACGTTAATAAAACTTGCTGAACCCAAGAGTTTAAAAGAAAATCCACCAAATGCCAGCACACAACCTCCTCCTGGCAGCAGATATCCTTAATGCTCTTTCCCGTTACTCTCTTTCCATCCTACAAGTGCAAATGAGAATACTCTGGCAGGCTCTCAAGGGTCATGTACCCAGAAAGATCACGCTGGGAGACAGGAATCCTTCTAAAACGACGAAATAGGTAGGCATCTCTGTTCCTGCCGCTTCATGTCAGGTCACACGTCTCTCTTCTGTTCATTATCAAGTGGCATCATCTAAGCTGATCCAATGAGGTCCCAAAGTTTACAGCAGCTTTAGACCAGTCTCCAGATACTGGAGAACCTAAGGAGCACATGGTGTGCATGAACAGCAACGCCACTGTCACCCACAGCCATGAAAAGGCTCCGCAAATGCCAGTGGGCAGCTCCCTGCTCTCTTTGCTCTCCCTCACGGCTGCGTGCACATGTATTTTGTACAGTTTGGTAAGAGATGCAGGATATTTGGAGAGCCAGGCTTCCCTCTGCACATTTTGGCATGAAGTGCAAAGGAGTACAAAAGGTGACAGTGCCTCCTGGGCTCCCCGGGGTTACCCAGACAAGAACCTGTCCAAAAGCAAGGGGCTGCTGGCTATTCCTCCCCATCACCTGCCAAACCTGCGTCTGCAACCTTGACATTCCCTGCTGAGAACCAGATCCTGCCCTTCACCTCCACCCAGCCCCATCTGCCTGCTGTGCCGGGCTCCAGAACGGCTCTTCAAAAGCAAAGAGCCAAGAAATGCACCCGTGACAGATTTCTCATTAGGATGTGGAGGACCATGACTAAACAGCAACCCTGATTAGGGAGCGCAGCGTCCCTCCCACTCCGAGCGGCACGCAGGAACAGCCAGGCTTCCCAAGCAGAGTCACAGCTCCCTGGTAGACCCAGCAAAGGCTGAGAGCTCAGTCAGTGCCGAAGGTTCAAGAGTGGCAACGCAGAGCAAACCTTGTTTTGCCTATTAGTGCTTTCTCATCATAACTCTCAGGGTGGGATTCAAGAGGCTGAGCAGCTCGGTCATCTTCATTTTACAGGCTCAGGATAGGGATAGTGGGAATCACTGAGGACAGGCTGAAAAAAAATCACTTCTGTAAGCTCTGAAAGCAGCAGCCTGGAGCCTCCCCAGTGAAGGACAGGGAACATGAACAGGGATCTTTTGTGCACAGAAAGCAACACCAAAACAAGATAAGAACAGTGAAAAGGTTTCTTTGATGCAGAACCAAACAAGAACCCTGGATCTCAGCAGCAGCGAGGCTCAGGCAGAGACAGACTTGCTGGCCAGGCTCATTGCTGCTCCACAAGCATCCTCTGCATCAGCTTGGGGCCAAGACTCCAACATGCTGTGATCCCTTGTGTTCCCCCTCTCTCATCCCAAGGGGTATCATGGTGGAATGGAGGAGGCAGAACAAGTCCAGCACCTACAGCACTACCCAAGCTAGGCTCAGAGCTGTGCTGCAAACAGCTGGCGCTGGGAGGAAAGAAGAGAATCAGCCAGAGCAAGGCAAGCCTGCTGTGGAAGGAGAGGACTGGAAAGCAGGTCCTGCTACTCTGACGCACTGCACAGACGTGCAAGCAGGTCAGAGTGAGCACAAGACAGGCTCCAACACACTGCTCACCCTAGGGCCACAGGGATCCTTAGGAGGGGCCGTTCTCCTCCCATAAACATGTTCTGATGGAAGGGACTACCACAGAAGTGCTGTGAAGTGAGAGGTTTTCACAGAGGGAGGCAAGGAAAGAAGATGCTTGAGGGGAAAAGGGAAATAAAGATGACAGATACATACTTGACATTATTTTCAACTCCTCAGCTAGGGTTTAGCTTGCAAAGCCACGCCAAGCCACATAACACCTCCCAGCCCTGTTGCACTGATTACCCTGAACACCTTAACAGGCCACTCAGTAAAAAATTACCCACTGCAGGTGAGAAGGTGAAGAGCATTACAGCAAATTGCCCTCAGCAACATGCCAAAGCACTGGGCTCCGCGCCTTCAGTAACGGAGCACACAGCTCCCTCCCCACTGACATGTTAAACCCAGCTGGAGCCAAGCCGTTATGTGCCAAGGCTTTTAGCCCCGAGCCCAGGGGTGACTGCAGTGTGGTGAAACACAGCATCCTCCCCCTCTCCCAGCAGCCTGATCCGTGCAGGAGGCCGTGAGCTTGGAAAGACTGCCAGCCAGCAACACTACACCCCAGGCAGAAAATGCAGTCTATGCAAGGAATTCAGCCTTCTGAAACCGGCTTGCTGCTCTCTCCCACAGCGCTTTGCCCCCAGACTCTCTGTGTGCTCCGTCCCCTTTGTATCTTTTGCAATTATTAGTAGGTATTTCTAAGACGGAGGCAACTACAGCCCCCACTGAGATTACATACGCTGCCCAGACGACCTGTCTCTGAACAGCTCACCTCTGAACAGGCTGGGGGGGAGGTGGAAGGGAAACATATAGAGAAAGTCATGGAAGCGATTTGCCACGGCCCAAGAGCGCGGTGGAGGCAGAGCCAGAAGGAGCGCTTGGTCTGCAGGGCCATATGGCAGCGCAGGACCTGTGCTGCCCAGCTAACCCACGCAGGGCTTGCTCCTGCCTCTTCACAGATGCCAGCTCCCCAGCTACTCCAAACAGCATCTGAAAGTCGCATCTGCAGATGGTCCAGAGCCTGTGCATTCATCTGATAGAGGTTTCCCTGCCCAGCCTGGCTCTGCCAACAGTCACCAGCCTTCACTCACCTATGCACCTCATCCACAAAATAAATAGCATAAAATCCATAAAATAAATCCTTAAAATAAGAGTAAATCCCAGTCTGCCTTTCCTCAAGTCCCAGACACATTGCACATCACGGAGAAGAGACACTCCCTTTCCTGCTGTGGCCTGCCCCTCCAGGTGCAGCAACCCCCCAACCCTCTCCTGCGCTCGCTGCCAGCAGCCACGCAACGCGGGCCCATTCCCTCCAGGCACAGCAAATGTCTTCATCTGACAGTCACAATTACTGTAATTTTCTGGAACCTCCCTCCCACAAAATGTTTAAGCTAAAATAACAGCTTTAACAAATCTTCACAAATGTAGCTATTAACAGGTAGAAAGCTACACCTTCCCACAACTAAAATAACGCCCCTGGTATTTCAACGTGGGAGCACGCAGGGCTTGGAGAAACCTGCAAACCTCATTCACCAGCCTGAGCAGCTGTTCACAGGCACGCTCGCACCACGAGCCATCACAGATTTGCTCCTCCTCGTTTGCCACGGCCACCACTGCCCCAAGGTGTGACACCAGACTGTGGATGGATCCCCAGCTCCGGGAAGGAAATGAACTGCTGGTGAGAAGCACAGGCTGATGGCAGGGTTAGTATATCCCACCTGCTG